TTTTTTTTTCAAATCACATAAAGTAACCAGTTAAAGGATCTAGAAGTTTGAAACCAGAAGCTCCCCTCACCTCTTTAGCTGCTGCTTTTGATCTTGCAAGGTAGGAACATCCTGCACTCGCTTTCCCGCTTCTGTTGCCCTCAGAATGCCATATATATGTACCACTTCCTCCATTATTCTAGGATACAAAGAAAATAATAAAGTGTGCTGTTTGCCATTCTGCCTTCTGATCACGCTTGCTATCATGTCCTGTGTTCTAAGGGCATCTTCCTTTGCCCTTGGTTTTGTTTTCCTGCTCTCGTTTATGCCTTCTAGCTCAAGTCTCTCGTGTGGCGATCCCTCATTGCCCGACCAAGGTCAGGTCTCTTTTATTCCTTCTGATCCAAGGCTTTCTCTCTTAACGCCATCCTCCTTTGCTAGCTGTGCTTTCTCAGCTAGTGATGGCATAGCAGTCAGCCTTGCTTCCTTAAGCCAAATGCCCTCAAGCATTTTCCTTCATGGAAAAAAATTTAAAAGAAGTCGATACTTATGTGGGACAGAGATGCATTCACTAACTACAGTGGAGCCTGAGCTTAATTTATTTTTTCTTCAGCAGCTCTGTTCTCCAGCTGGGTGTTGTAATTCAAGGAGGGCCCAGAGAAAGGTTATCTTGTCCAATCTCCTTATTTTATAGAAGAGGAAACTAAGCCCAGAGGTCACGTGACTTGCCTAGGATCTCCCAGGCGGTCAGTGGCAAAGCCTGACACAGAAGCCAGGTGTTTGGTTACCAAATTCTTACGTCATATGTTACTCCAGGATTCTTAACAAATCTTCAACGGTTCTGAGGTATTCTCTGTTTTCCCACTTTGAAGATTACCTCAGAAACATTGGATGTAAATGCCCAGATACTCTCAAGACTGCTTTCATTTGTTTTTCATACTGATTTTAACATTGTAGACACTCAGTAAAAGGGTCTTTGAGTTTAGATTTCTTTGGTAAGGTGATGCTGTTTGCAAAGAATAACCATTTACATCTGGAGCTGAACCTATCCTATTATATGTAAAAAGGGGAAAGTTGCTTTTAAACTGCTACTTAGAACTTGACTTCTTGAGGGGGTGTGTGTGTGTGTGTGTGTGTGTGTGTGTGTTTGTTTTAGAATATTGCATTCGGTCAAATTTTCATTGTAATCATTCAGTCATTGCCAGTTCCCTCTTTATTTGGAATTTGCAGGTAAGGAGGAAGAAAAACCCAAAAAAACCCTGCCCTTGTGTTTCTTGGACATATCACTGATTGGCAGACTTGAAATGTATTGTGGATACTGTTTTGTAAAGAGATGATAGCCTGTTGGATACCATTATTATTATACCTTTTGTTCATTCTGTATATTGAGTGCATGTTAGATTCTAGGTGTTGTATTTTTTGCTTGGTATGCACTGGTGAATCAGTAGACAGTTTCTGCTGTTTGAGGAGCTTACAGTTTACTATGTAGAGCAGAGTTTTGAAAGTGTGGCCCATAAAGCCATGTGCATCATAGCAGCTGGGTGTAAAAAATGCAGATTCTTGGACACTACCCCACCTCTGCTAAATACGTTTGCGGGGTCGGGGCCCAGAAATCTGCACTTCCAGAAGGCTCTCCAGATAATTGCTATAATCTTTAGCATGTGAGAACCATTGTGAATTTTCTTTATAAGGTGGGCTTTGGGAACCATTTCTAACTTAAAACACCAGGCATCTAAACTTCAATTTCACATCAACTCTTATGTATAACTTAGTGGTTAAGAGTTAAACTCTG